TTCGCACATGCCGTATTAACTCAACTTAACCAATTCCTTTTAACTAAAACGCAAATCTAAATCGTTTTAAGAGTATCTTTGATTTTTCTCCGAAAAAAATTTAGCTTTATCTGCGTTTGATAGCTTCTAACTTACTTTTTATACATTTTTCGTTGGTTTATGGTTTACTGGAGTCATTTTTAGTATTAGAAACAATTTATTGGATTGCTTGATATTATTTTTACAACGAAAAATGATTAAGGCTCTAGATTAGCCTAAAAAAGTAGTTTTGGTGACAAAAGTGACTTCAGTAAATGTAAATTCCAATACAAATGTAAATTCTAATGACGTCTTTTTATTTTCAGATACGAGAATGCCGGTTGTAACGCGCGCGCAAAAGCGAAAGCAAGAACCGGAACCAACGAAGATTCAAGATTTCCCTCTGGAGCTGATTGAGGAAATGATACGTCACATCCAGGCAAATCCGGCTTTCAATTCTGATCGTGGGTTTTATTTTGGAGCAACTTTTTATTATATGAGATTGACAAGAAAGTCTTTGCACAGATTTGAACTGGAATTTCTTCAAAAACGAATCCACCAATTCAAGAACACTTTTTTCCATTATTTACAAGTCGACTCCAAGAAATTACGGGACCATCACGATTGCGCCATAAGCAAAAAACGAAAATTGCGCCGACGAATTTTTCGCCGCGCACACGAAACGAAAATTGCGCTTGTTTTTTTGCGCTGCGAAATTTGCACCGAAGGATTTGAGTTATTTCATTGAGACTTTACCTTGTTTTTTGATGACGAAATCGAATGCAAGTTCAATCACAATGACTACATGTTTTTAAATGCAAACATTGTTGCTTGAGTGCTTAGCATACGGCTGTTTTTTGGTGTTTAAGTTACTCAAATGTTGGTGTTTCTTTGTTTTTCCAATGCATTTCGTCAGACCTTTAATAATGATTAAAGCTGCGTTTCTAAAATGAATTTTAAAATTTTATTAACAAACAAACCCGCGTGAAAAGTGAAAAGAGCACGACAACAAAAAATAATTTTAAAAAGCGTTAAAAATAGTAACAACATAAGAAGCATATATCAAGTTCAAGGAGAAATATAAATAGATAAGCCAAAAAGATAGTCAAGTGGATGTGGTGGACGAATAGGGTTAGTGACCGCCAAATGTCGCTCTTTGTGAAATTTACTGGCCTGTCGATTTTGAGGGAACATCTCAGGAACGGCGGAAGGGGGCCAAAGTAAGAAAAACAGCAAAAAATTGCTGAAAAAATGCAGAAACAGACAAAAAAATGTTCTTTCTAGTACTGGGTTAGCGCTAGTTTGTTCGGCGCAATTTTCGTTTTGTGTGTGCGGCGCAAAGCTTGCCGGCGGGAAATAGGCTCGGCGCAATCTTCATGATCCCGAAATTACTCGTAAAAATGAGTGCAGCTTTCCTTTAAAATTTTTAAGATTTTTAAGAAAATATTATTTTCTAGCTTAAATTCAGCCTAACTCAGTTTTATGCCTTTAAGGGTATCTTTGATTGTTAATCTGGAAAGTTTAAGCTGTAAAGGTTTCTTGGACAAAATTTAGCTTTATCTACGTTTTATCGCTTCTAATTCGTTTGTTTTATGGTTTATTAGAGTCATTTTTAGTATTGGAAATAATTTATTGGATTGCTTGATATTATTTTTACAACGAAAAATGATTATGGCTCTAGATTAGCCTAAAAAAGTGCTTTTGGTGACAAAAGTGGCTTCAGTAAATCATGCAAATGTCAATTCTAATGACGTCTTTTTATTTTCAGATACGAGAATGCCGGTTGCAACGCACGCACAAAATCGAAAGCAAGAGCTGGAACCAACGGAGATTCAAGATTTCCTTGTGAAGCTGATTGAGGAGGTCAAACCTCTGATCCAGGCATGTTCGGCTTTCAATTCTGATGGTGGGTTTTATTTTGGAGCAACTTTGGACCAACCACAAATTTTGGAGCAACCACAAAAAAAGTGGTTTTGGTGACATAAGTAAATCATACAAGTGCCAATCCCTTTGATTTCTTTTCTTTTTCAGAGACGAGAATGCCGGTTGCAACGCGCGCACGAAAGCGAAAGCAAGAACCGGAACCAACGGAGATTCAAGATTTCCTTGTGGAGATGTTTGAGGAGATCAAACGTCAGACCCAGGCATATTCGGCTTTCAATTCTGATGGTGGGTTTTATTTTGGAGCAACCACAAAAAGGTGGTTTTGGTGACATAAGTGACTTCAGTAAATCATACAAGTGCCAATTCCCTGGATTTCTTTTCTTTTTCAGAGACGGGAATGCCGGTTGCAACGATCGATGATTTGCCGTTGGAGCTGGTTGAGAAGATCGCATGCCAACTTGATGTGAAAGACGTGGCGAAACTGATGATGGTGAACAAAAGGCTCTACTCGAGTTATGCAAAGAATCGATCGATCGTTTTCGGAAAGCACGTCGCTTTAATTGGCCTGGGATTGTATTCTGCACCGAGAAATTGTATCCAGAAGTTCGTCGATACCGAGCCCTTGAAACTGAATGAAACTGCATTTCCAACTTTTCACGAAGGAAGAGTGCCAGACGTTCCTCAGCAATTTTCATGGGTCGGTCAAAAAGCAGGCAAAACTGGGGCTCAGCATCGATTCATTAGAACAAGATCAAGCACTGAAAGAGCAACTCAGCAAATTCATCGAAAGCCAATTGAACGGATGCGAGAACATCACTCTTGGTATCGAGTTCAGGGATTCTTTCCACGTTTACCATGAGGCTCTGATGAAAACGCAAATCAAAATGAATTTAACGTCGACTGATCCATGGGAGTTTGATCACATCGTCGACTGGATTATCAAGGATGGAATTCCTAGTAAGAATCCTGAAGCGGCGATTCACATTGTATCGAGATCGGAGTCTCCCAGGGCCGGTGATTTTCTTTCACAGGTGCAAGGACTTGAACCAGTCGATGACGGTAAAAATCACTTGGCACTCCTTTCTCGTGCGAACGAGCTTGTCAGAGAAAATGAGAAGAACTTTCTTTCCTTCTGGAGCCCGTTGGCCAATTATGTGTTTGACGAAAATAGTTCGTGTTTCTGCCGCCGAATCGACTCAACGACGAGTTGCATTTACTTGTATGGCGTCAAGATCGGCTATCAGCACTTTTTGGCCTTCTACATGCCGTGTCAATGAAATAATCAAATAACCAACCTAAACTCTTATCGTAAATGCTTGGCCACTTATATCCGGCCCATCCTAGAATATGCTTCTATTGTTTGGTCTCCCCGTTTACAAGTCTCGATTGAACGTTTGGAGAAAATCCAGAAAAGGTTCACAAAAATCTCTTTATGGAAAATTGACTATTCCAAATATTCTAGCTTGATTTATGAGGATAGACTTGCCCTTTTTGAACTAAAAACTTTACAACATCGTCGCTTTGTGATTGATCATGTCGAAACTTTCAAAATCCTGCGTTGCAAACAGATTAGCCCTTTGTTTGTTGACTTTTTCAAATTTAACCCGAGGTCAGAGTCCAGAAGTGGTTCATTCCTTTTGCAGATTCCCTTTGCGTTTAATGTTTCTTTATGAAACTCCTTTTCCGTTAGAGCCGCTAGGTTATGGAGCTTGTTCCCAAATGACATACGAGAAATTCTGTCACTTTCGATTTTTGAGAAACGAATCGATGCTCCAGATCTAACGGCTCTCTCTCGTAGGTAGTCTGGCTATTTGCATATTCACTATATCTTGTATTTTCACTCTATCTTTTATCTTCGTCTCTTTCATTTGTCTCTACATTTATGGCTCGCCGTTCATTTCTCTATGATTTATTGGGCTTCACTTTATCATCTGAATAAAGTACCATTATTTTTTTTGTATAACATTATTGCTTCTTAGGAATTCACGTAAAGTTATTTAAAGATATTGTTGGATTTAGCTTTATCATTCATTCATTTAATAAGTTCGAATTTGAATAGAATTAATTTATTCTTCAGTTTCTACGATTTTCCTCTTCTTGTGTTCAATAAATTTAGTGTGTGTCATTTTGTCACTTTGGTCATGAAACTACATGAAACTACATGAAACTCATGAAACTTCATCAAAAATTCTATTACTACACCTACCTGCCGATAATTTGGTTTTAATGAGAATCGGTCCCAAGTCGGACCCTTCCTTTAAGGTGGGCTTACCACATAAAAGCAAACATTGACAAACATCTTCTGAGGAACTACAGTAAACTAGCGCATTTTGCTCTACCTAACTACTTCAGAAGCTAAAGGAAGTTTTTTTAGTTAAAATGGCTTACAGACAAACTAGATCATTTTTGTCGCAATCGAATGCATGTCCAGGAGATCGTCAAAACTCATGAAAGATCAGAAAACGAAATTCTAGTAGTCTTTCTAGTCATTTAACAAAATTAGAATTTCAATTTTCAATTTTTGATAAGTGATTTTTGTTTCCGCAAAACAGTAAGGATTCTTCAAAGCATTCAAAATTTTCAGATTTCTGTGAAGGCTTTGTTTTCTCTCCTTGCAAGTTTTGGCCCCATCCTCGCATGTTTGAGAGGATCTTTCCAAGGATGTTACAGGGCGGGCCAAAATTACCGTTACAATGCGCACTCACGCGCAAATGCGAAAGCGAAATGGAAGAAAGCGAAAGGTAACAACTTCAGCAAATGTCAAAAAAAAAGTGAAAAATCGTCTGTTGAAAACGCCAAACTAATTGGTGCGGAAAATGTCACAAAAAATGGGGATTAAGCGAAAATCCCTTAGAAGAATCACCAAAAACAAGCTCAAGTTAAAGGCCTACAAGAAAAATAAATCACAAATGCTATCAGTTGACGCTATCAACCACACAAAACTGTGGATAGTTTGAAGAAAGCGCTCGAAAAGGCTTGGGAAGAGCTGGATCTCCTGTACCTTCTCGCCACGATCGACGCTTTTCTACGACGTTTGGACGCCTGTGTAAAAGCTGTTTGGAGATCTGTTTAAAAAGGAATAGTTTTATGAATTGTTATGAGATAATAAAAGTTATTTTGCCGACAAGCCGTCGCATTCTTCTCGCATTTCTGTCCTGATCGCGCATCTTTTTCTCAATCTCCGCATCGGTTAACGTTTCCAAGAATGGACCCCATTGCTCGCAATCCGATGGATTTCTAGAAAAGATTTGATAAAGTTAAAAATATGAAAACTTTTTTACATTTGTACTTGCTTGAACAAACCTTATGCTCTAGTTTTAGCTAAAAATTTATTAAAAATGAATTCAAAGCGGACAACTTGTCAGTTCTAGTAGCCGGTCGCTTGACATTCCCATATTTCATTCAATTACCTGAACGAACCATCAACAGTGGGAAGCGGAGACTCAGAGAAAGCGCACGTCTTTTGGTTCCAATTCAATTGACCACTGAAAAGGGTACTGGACTTATTTGAATATTCAGTTTTAACCTACATTAATCTCAAAATGTATTTCTAGATATTTAGACAGTATTTCTAGATATTTTTCTGTTCTTAGGTCTTTGTATTCTCCTCTCTTTAGCAAAATATCCGTTTATTGATCTTTTCTTCAAACTGACCGAATTGAATAAGGGATGATCGCCCGGAATTCCCCTCCAAGACTCAATTCGGCGCAGAGAACCTGCGCGAAATCCTCGGGATTATTGCTCTGTTCACTCATACACTCATTCGTACACAATTCGAATCTAAAAACGCATTTATTACACAAGCAACAAGGTCTTGATCATCTACCTGTTTTTTGCTTTCTAGTGGCAAGTGGTCCTGATTTTTCGTGACCGTAAGAGTGCCGGTTGCTTTGTTTTGAGGGGCTCGGCCATAACATTTCGGCCAAACACCTAAAAAGAAATAGAATTGGGTATTACAAGATAAATTATACTTCCCTTATCTATAACTCAAAAGTACACCGCATTTAAGTACTTTGCCGTTTCGATATTCGAATCCATCTGAGTCGTAAATTAGTGACCATCCTTCCTGGCTTGACATTCTGCCTAGAAAAATAAATTAATAAATAACAAACCGTAAAATTATGTTAACAAACGATAAATCATAAACCAACAAATCATATTACCACAAAGCTAATAAAATATACCTTAACCGCCACGTTTGTCCTTTTGAAACACGCAGCAGCGCCTCGCTCAATTTCTGATTGTGGCTGACTGATCACCTGCAAAACAAAAATGCTAAATGGCTAGGCGAACCAAATATTAAGTCACACATCCAGAAAGCTGATAAAATATACCTCAAAATTTCACGTCGGTCCGTGATGATAAGACGACGATGACGAGTATGTCGCAACGCCTCGTTCAGTTTCAGATTGCTCTGTTACATACAAAAATAAAAAGTTAGTGAAAACGTTAAAAAACAAGCCGTAAAAGGAAAAAAGTTGTTTTCTTGGTTAGAATCACTTTAATAAACGTTCTCGCAGGCTTCTATGCGTAAAGCTTAAAAAGATCGGATTCTCCGCCTTTTTTACCCAAAAAACACAAAAAGTCGAGAGAGAAAGTTAAAAACAGCCAAGAAAAAGGAAAAGCAAAAATCTAGGAAATAATTTTCTTGCTCGTCGCTGTTTTGCTCGTCGCTGTCTTGGGTACGGCGCTGTTTTGGGATAGACGCTTTGAAGGGGCTATCGCGAAAGCGCTGAAGCGTGGATGCATGGATGAGGTACCGTACCCCGTAGAAAATTTCCCTTTAGCCTTTTTGGTTCATACGATCGTGTAGGTCGGAAACTTGGTCCGGTTTTTATGTCGAGTCCTGCTAAATTTTCTTCCACCCTTCATAAAATCTAGCAAAAATCTAGAAAATAATTTTTTTTGCTCGTCGCTGTTTTGGTCGGCGCTGTTTCGGCGGCGCTGTTTTGGGAAGACCCTTTTAAGGGGCCATCGCGAAAGCGCTAAAGCGTGGATGCGTGGATGCGGTACCGTACCCCGCAGAAAATTTCCCTTTTGCCATTTTCCCTTATTCAACGATGTAGGTCGGAAACTTTGTCGGGTTTTTATGCATAGTCACGCCAAGTTTTCTTCCGCCCTGCATAAAATCTATTATGTTTTTGTAGCGACTTTTGAAAGTACTCTCTCTCCTCGTTGTTCCCTCCTTTTTATATTGTTTGCCCAAAGCTTGTTGTTTAAAATTCTAATACGGTTTTATTTCGTTTTCTTTTCGGCTCCTTCCACTCCAAGCAATTGGACGCGGTGAAAGGCTGGTGGCTTTACGTGAATAAAAGCTTAGAGCTTGTTCACTTGCCTGGCTTTCTACTCAATGGAGCATATCACCAGAGAAAAAACACGTCTACTCATCGAGATGGCAAATGAACATTTGAAAGTGACTCATTACAAAGGGGGGGGGGCTTTTTTCTTCTTTTCCTTGGGTAGTTTTGGGCCTAGATTCCAAACACACGACGAGAGCTTGGGAAAAGGCGTTTTAAGCTGAGTTTCGGGGTTTTAAAGTGCACGCTTCTAAGGTGTGTTGCGAAATGATAGGACCACCCCTAAATTTTACATGTTTTTGCCTGTGGAAATTGATAACGTGAAATAGCTTTTTAATCCTAAGAATAGCACTGTATATTAGGAATAGGTTCTCTCCGATAGTGCTCCAAGAGGCAATCTATTCTCAGCAAATTAGGAGGGTTTATGCTTTTTGCTTGGCTATATTGCTCTTTATTATCTGGCAAGTGCAATCGGAGAATTCATCTCAAAGAATGGGTTTGTAAGCAGAAAAGAAAGCAGAAAACGGAATAAGGTCTTCAAAAAGCTTTAGCTCAAAAGTCAGTGACTGATTAAATGTAGTCGATGGCTGTTTCTGAAATCTTTTATCTTCTTTGGTTTTATCGCTTCTCATTCGTTTGTTTTATGGTTCACTGGAGTCATTTTTAGTATTGAAAACAAATCCGCCGGCTCCGCGCGACAAACTTTTCCGACTCATCTCGATGGCCAAACAATTCGACGAGGCTGAACAACAGGAAAAACAAAATGGACTTCAGGTTTTTTGTTCAATTTTTTTTTTAGTAAAGTTTTTTAGTCTCATGCAAATTCGGCGGGACTAAATTTGGGATTAGATGCTAACATCGTGCACGAATCGCTTGAGAAGCGAATCAACTGGACTGCCTACAAAGTCTATTGGCGATCTGCAGCTTTCAATTCTGATGGTGGGTTTTGTTTTGGAGCAACTTTTGATTTTGACAGCAACATGCCGTATGAACTAAAACGCAAATCTAAATCGTTGTATGCTTTTAAGAGTATCTTTGATTTTTTTTCCGAAAAATTTAGCTTTATCTGCGTTTGATCGCTTCTAACTCACTTTTTATACATTTTTCGTTGGTTTATGGTTTATTGGAGTCATTTTTAGTATTAGAAACAATTTATTGGATTGCTTGATATTATTTTTACAACGAAAAATGATTAAGGCTCGAGATTAGCCTAAAAAAGTGGTTTTGGTGACAAAAGTGGTTTCAGTAAATCATACAAATGTCAATTCCAATGACGTCTTTTTATTTTCAGATACTAGAATGCCGGTTGCAACGCGCGCACAAAAGCGAAAGCGAGAACCGGAACCAACGGAGATTCAAGGTTTTCCTGTGGAGCTGGTTGAGGAGATCATATGTCACATCCAGGCAAATTTGGCGGGACGCAATTTGGAATTATTGGGTTGGTGAATTGAAAACTGCCGGACTCTGAACTAAAATTTATTGACCATAAAATCATGAATTCATTCGAAGTGGCTCTCAATCACATTCAAATCAGGACTATAGGGAGGAGCAGACACAAGTTGAACGCGGTTTGCTATGAATCATCCTGGTGCCAGAGCCGTTCCTCCATTGGCGAGTCGAACACGACGTCTCATCAGCAGCTGTGACTTGTGGCGCGGGGCATTGTCCTGGTACGACAACCAACCTTGGCCCATATTTGCGGTCGAAAACGGTAGAAGATCATTCTCCAGAAACGTCTTGTAGCGTTGAGCATTCAGCGTTAAGTTTAGAAGGACGATTGGACCCAGTGAATTTCTGGACATTGCTCCTAGAAATCAGAAAATCAGTAGGCACAAAATACAAAGGTTCTTACCCTATAGCATGATCGATCCGCCACGAAATTTAACTGTAGGACGCAAGTATTTAATGTTATAACGTTGTTCGACTGGTCTCCGTGTCAAATGATTGCCATCAGGGGCGAAAAGATTGACTTTCGATTCGTCAGGGAACACAACATTGGCCCAATCGTGCGACGTCCAACTTTAATACTTCTTTGCAAACTCGAAACGAAGCTTCCGGTCCTTAGCTACCATCAGAGGTTTCTTGGCGGCCCTTCTAGTCATCAATCCACCGTGAATCAGGCGTCGACTCACTGTTTTTCGAGAAATTTCTTTGTTGCTTCACCATAGCCACGCCATCAGAGGCATTCAGATTTGGGTTCTTCTTGTGGGCCAGAACGAGCGCATTGTCTTCTCGTAAAGTTGTAACTGGTGGACGTCCACTTTTTGATGCACGATGAACGTTTTCTGCGAGGAGAGAACAAGCGATACAGTTGTTTCGGTACAGCGGAAGAGCTCAGCGACGGCTTTTCTAGACATTCCATTTTTTCGAGCTTCAACGAGTTTCTCCTTGTCCGGAGTTGATAAGTAAGCGCCGGGCATCTAAAAAATCAGAGTTAGTATCCAGAAATCAATAGGAAAGACAAAAAATTTCTTGAAGAAACTGCGATGTTAAGAGACTTTTGTCCATCAATTTTTGGCGCAATTTTTGTTTTATTAAAAAGTTCATGAAACCTGATAAATTGTTAAATCCATTTTTTTGTAATGTTAAAATTAGAGATAATAAGCTCTTTAAATCTTTTAACTGTTCCCAAATTGGTCGGATTTGGACCAAGATATACAAAGAACAAACTTCTAAAAACCAACGTTAAAAGACTTTTGTCCATGACTGTAGTATCAGAAACAATTTATTGGATTGCTTGATATTATTTTTACAACGAAAAATAATTATGGCTTTAGATCAGCCTAAAAAAATGGTTTTGGTGACAAAAGTGGTTTCAGTAAATCATACTCAATTCCAATGACGTCTTTTTATTTTCAGATACGAGAATGCCGGTTGCACCAATCGATGATTTGCCGTTGGAGCTGGTTGAGAAGATCGCATGCCAACTTGATGTGAAAGACGTGGCGAAACTGATGATGGTGAACAAAAGGCTCTACTCGAGTTATGCAAAGAATCGATCGATCGTTTTCGGAAAGCACGTCGCTTTAATTGGCCTGGGATTGTATTCTGCACCGAGAAATTGTATCCAGAAGTTCGTCGATACCGAGCCCTTGAAACTGAATGCAACTCTTCTTCGTTTCGCGAAACGGATCAAATCATGCGACAAGTTAGAGATCAATGAGGTCATATGCCGCACCAATACAATGTTCTTAAATCAATTGAAATCCGTGAACGAACTGGATTTCCGTCTTTACACGAAGGAAGATTGCCAGAAGTTCCTCAGCAATTTTCATGGGTCGGTCAAAAAGCACGCAAAACTGGAAATCAAGATCGATTCATTAGAACAAAATCAAGCAACGAAAGAGCAACTCAGCAAATTCATCGAAAGCCAATTGAACGGATGCGAGAAGATCTCTCTTACTTTCGAGTTCATGAATTGTTTCCACGTTTACTACGAGGCTCTGATGAAAACGCAAGTCAAAATGAATTTAACGTGGACTGAGCCATGGGAATTTGATCAAATCGTCGACTGGATTATCAAGGATGGAATTCCTAGTAAGAATCCTGAAGCGGCGATTCACATTGTATCGAGATCGGAGTCTCCCAGGGCCGGTGATTTTCTTTCACAGGTGCAAGGACTTGAACCAGTCGATGACGGTAAAAATCACTTGGCACTCCTTTCTCGTGCGAACGAGCTTATCAGAGAAAACGAGAAGAACTTTCTTTCCTTCTGGAGCCCGTTGGCCAATTATGTGTTTGACGAAAATAGTTCGTGTTTCCGCCGCCGAATCGACTCAACGACGAGTTGCATTTACTTGTATGGCGTCAAGTTCGGCTATCAGCACTTTTTGGCCTTCTACATGCCGTGTCAATGAAATAATCAAATAACCAACCTAAACTCTTATCGTAAATGCTTGGCCACTTATATCTGGCCCATCCTAGAATATGCTTCTATTGTTTGGTCTCCCCGTTTACAAGTCTCGATTGAACGTTTGGAGAAAATCCAGAAAAGGTTCACAAAAATCTCTTTATGGAAAATTGACTATTCCAAATATTCTAGCTTGATTTATGAGGATAGACTTGCCCTTTTTGAACTAAAAACTTTACAATATCGTTTTGTGATTGATCTTGTCGAAACTTTCAAAATCCTACGTTGCAAACAGATTAGCCCTTTGTTTGTTGCCTTTTTGAAATTTAACCCGAGGTTCAGAGTCCAGAAGTGGTTCATTCCTTTTGCAGATTCCCTTTGCGTTTAATGTTTCTTTATGAAACTCCTTTTCCGTTAGAGCCGCTAGGTTATGGAGCTTGTTCCCAAATGACATACGAGAAATTCTGTCACTTTCCATTTTTGAGAAACGAATCGATGCTCCAGATCTAACGGCTCTCTCTCGTAGGTAGTCTGGTTATTTGCATATTCACTATATCTTGTATTTTCACTCTATCTTTTATCTTCGTATCTTTCTTTTGTCTCTACATTTATGGCTCGCCGTTCATTTCTCTATGATTTATTGGGCTTCACTTTATCATCTGAATAAAGTACCATTATTATTTTTTTGTATAACATTATTGCTTAGGAATTTACGTAAAGTGATTTAAAGATATTGCTTAAATTTAGCTTTATCATTCATTCATTTAATAAGTTCGAATTTGAATAGAATTAATTTATTCTTCAGTTTCTACGATTTTCCTCTTCTTGTGTTCAATAAATTTAGTGTGTGTTATTTTGTCACTTTGGTCATGAAACTACAGGAAACTACATGAAACTCATGAAACTTCATCAAAAATTCTATTACTGCACCTACCTGCCGATAATTTGGTTTTAATGAGAATCGGTCCCAAGTCGGACCCTTCCTTTAAGGTGGGCTTACCACATAAAAGCAAACATTGACAAACAGCTTCTCAGAAACTACAGTAAACTGGCGCATTTTGCTGTACCTAACTACTTCAGAAGCTAAAGTGCGCTTTTTAGTTAGAATGACATACAGACAAAGCAGATCATTATTCATGCTATTGAATGCATGTCCAAGAGATCGTCAAAACTCATGAAAGAAAGATAACATAACTCATATATAGATACTTTATTCAGGACCTGAGATAAAGTGCGCTAGATTTAAGATTAAAACACATGAATTCATACACATAACACGAAAAGGGCCAATAAAAAGAAACACGATATAATATATGTAAAATGTGGGTAGCACAGACCACGTCAAGGATCCACTAGAGCTTCAAGATCAAGATCATCTACAGATAATTTAAAGGTTTCGAGACTATTGGACTCTCTCAAAACTCTGGGGAGTCGATTCGAAATTCTGGCAGTTCTTATTCGAAGAGAGTTATAAACAAACTTATTGGAGGTGATTGGAATTTTTAAAACGAAAGAAAAGATATCAAAAGAAAACGAACTTCTAGTCGTCTTTCAAGTCATTTAACAAAATTAGAAGCAAAATTTTTGATAAGTAATTTTTGATATTATTGTTTCCGCAAAACAGGACTCAAAGGTTTCTTCAAAGCATGCAAAATTTTCAGATTTCTGCCAAGATTTCGCTTTCTCTCCTTGCAAGTTTTGGCCCCATCCTCGCATGTTTGGGAGGATCTGTCAAAGGATGTTAGAAAGAATCATGCCAAAGAAGAATCGGATTCCGGATTAATTCATAACGTTGTCCTTTTAAAAAGTTTTTTTAGATTTTGATGTGCTTCTAGAAATGTTTGCTGGAAGGTCTACAAAAATTTGTACAAATCAAAAAAAAAATCCTTACACCAGAGCGGTTTGCCAGATGACGGGCGAGCCGCACAGAGAATATTTTGAGCCCTATTACATAGGGATTTTGTTTTTTTATTGTAAATGGTATAGATTGAGCTGTAAATTTGTACCCAAAGGGTCAGGAAATCGATTGCGCTATTTATTTTATTGAGTCTACCAATGAGAACTGCTAATCTATAAGCCCGGTTGGCTTTCCTAGTAAACCCACGAATTCTTAAACATCGCTGGATCATTCGTCGGTTGTACAGAGGGAGAGCTTTGGTGTGAAGAGCACCCAAACAAGAACACCCAAGAAGAACGAGGCAATCACCATCGAAAACACCGGTCACAAACCAAAATCTTTCACTCTTTTCGAGAAATGGGAGATGAAGAAGCCTAAGCTTTCTGCTTTGGTTTAATTTCCTCATATGCAATCGCTCCAATCATGAATGCAATGCAGATGATTGTGAATAAGATTGTGATTCTTCGCGAAATGCCCAGTGAAAGCGACTGTGATTGGGTAGATTGTGAGCTAGAAAACAATGCACATTCCACGGAATTTGGCTTTTATTTCACAGTCTGTCATAGCAAAATTGAGTCAAATAAATAAAGAAAGAAAGTACACAGAGATCCACGCAAAATAACGTAATCAAAAATAAACAGTGATGAGTGATCAAAGAAATGAAATCGAAACCTCAAAATGGATTGTAATTGCCGACAAGCCGCCTCATTCTTCTCGTATTTCTGTCCTGATCGCGCATCTTTTTCTCAATCTCCGCATCGGTTAACGTTTCCAAGAATGGACCCCATTGCTCGCAATCCGATGGATTTCTAGAAAAGATTTGATAAGGTACAAATATGAAAACTTTTTTACATTTGTACTTGCTTTAACAAACCTTATGCTCTAGTTTTAGCTAAGAATTTATTAAAAATGAATTCAAAGCGGACAACTTGTCAGTTCTAGTAGCCGGTCGTTTGACATTGCCATTTTCATTCAATTACCTGAACGGACAATCAACAGTTGGAAGCGGAGACTCAGAGAAAGCGAACGTCTTTTGGTTCCAATTCAATTGACCACTGAAAAGGGTACTGGACTTATTGAACTTATTGAATTTGGACTTATTGAACTTATTGAATTGAGTATTCAGTCTTAACCTTAATCTTAATTAATCTCAAATTGAAGTATTTCTAGATATTTTTCTTTTCCTAGATCTTTGTATTCTCATTTCTTTAGCAAAATATCCGTTTATTGACCTTTTCTTGATCTCTTCTTGATCTTTTCTTGATCTTTTCTTCAAACTAACCGAATCGAATAACAGATGGTCGCCCGGAATTCCCCTCCAAGCCCCAATTCGGCGCAGAGAACTCGCGCGAAATCCTCGGGATTATTGCTCTGTTCGCTCATGTCCCATCTGGAATTGATAATTTTGATAATTCAATCAAGCTAAGCTTTAGGAAAAAGAACCCACTCAAATTGATCGACCAAATTCTGATTTCCAACGTTGATGTTGAGCTTAAGGACAGCGCGTTGATCAGCTGTTTGGGAGTCGATTTGTACTGGCTGAATAAGGAAAATGTGAAAAGTTTAAAAAAAGGAGAAGAATCCATTGATTCGTTTAAAGATTTTTGAATTTAAAAATCCCTGAAAACCCACCTCTTCAGATGTTTCAATTTGTTGAAAGATGGCGGCTGCAATGGCCGGTTGAAAGGAAGATTGGGGCAAGTCAAGATCTTCGCACATTTGTTCAGCTACCTAAAAGAGCTTTTGCTGTTGTAAACGCACTTATTCTAGCACACTGAACTTTCGGATTGATTAGCGATTAAATATATTAAGTAAAATGAGGAATTAAGTGTGCTAGATACGATTTGCCAGCTTTTTTAGAAGGAATTGGAGCTCGAATCCATCCAATTTAATCAATCACTTAAAACTCACAATATCCGGTGTAATGAGGTGCTCATTTCGATTGTAGCAGAACGTGTCTCTCAGCTTGATTCCATCAATTTCCATATCCAGCCGAATTGGGATCAAATCTTCCGGCTTATCGGCGTTGTCGAGCAGTTTTCGGGCCTGGAAAGGATATTTTAAAAACAAATACATTTACTCCCCAAGAATAATGTGGTACAAAACCTAAATGAGCTTTTGCTGTTGTAAACGCACTCATTCTAGCACACCGAACAAGCACCAGCCTTAAACCCTAAATGTAGGAAAGAAAAAAAGACATCTACATGAAAAAGAAGAAAAATAATTCAGCCTAAGGGATTGAACCTTCAATCTTCTCACTAGGAGACCGGGCCCTTAGCCAGTCTTGTCCGCTTCTGATCAAGAAATTGAAGCTAAAGCCCTCCTCACCTGTTCTAGATCTTCTGTCGAATAGATTGAGTCCTTTGTTTTGAATTTTCCCCTTCCATGTGCACTTGGATGAGACGCGGGCACAGATTCGAGATGATGAGAGCCAGTGGTCACCTAGAATTATAGAGTTTTTTTGAATTACGAATCCTTTATTCTTCAATTTTATAGTCAAAGTACATTAGAATGCTCAAGCCAACCTGTTGCCCAATCCATCCACTTGTTGGCGCAGCCTTTGGTGGATTCGGCTTCAACGGGGTGAATCCGCCTTCAGTTCTTGGCGTAGATTGACCACCGGGTACCTGAAAAGAGATTTAGTTATTGAATTCGTACAATGAACAATCAATCTGGCTACAATCTTGCTACAATCTGGCTACGATCTGGCTACAATCTGACTATAATCTTGCTATAATCTGGCTTTTGGCGACAATTAGCACAATCAAGCTATATTCTATTCGTTAGACTATAGATTTAGAGTCAAGTCCAAGCCTGAAACAGCTTGTAAACAGTTTTAGGCTTGAAATTGGTTTAATAGACAATAGCTGGGGGTTTCTAGCTCGTTAGTGGCTAGTATTACTTTTCAAAATAGCGGCTAGTACTTTTAAAATAGCCGCTAGTACTTCTAAAATACCGGCTAGTACTTTTAAAATAGCCGCTAGTGCTTCTTTTCATATTGGATATCAGTTTTCGAAAATTTCAAAACACTTACCCGATATTTTTCATCGTTTCCCGATAGCATCTCGTCAACTTCCGTTTGCTTGACGAGCCTATAAGAAAATTGTTCATTATAGCTATCATTACGTACTAGATTTAAGCAATATCATTAGCAAGAATGATCTGTAATGATTATCGCTATCATTAGAAACAAGATTTAATCGATTAGCCTCTAAAAGATCAAATTTTAAACCAGATTCGCTATTCTACTGTTTCCCAAATTGTGCTTTTTTTCCAGAGTTGTACTAAAGTCAAAAGCTATAATTAGCCAGGCTAAAGCTAAGCAAAAAAGCCTTTTTTTCAGTGAAAATGTTAAGCACTCGATAGTTTTGGCTTTCGCCTTGGAAACTGTCTCTAGAAACAACTCTGTTAGCAAGAACTTCTCACCCATTCCCAAATTCCAATCAACTCACATGATATTCGTATTCAAAAAAGCGGGTGATGCATTGATGTTCCGAATCCTTTCCCTTTCCTCCATTGTCGCCACTCGTTTCCATAAAAGAGGGTATTTCTTGTAAAGAGTGCCACGGTGGAATTTCAAGTAATTCCCCACTTCAGCGCCGATGTAATACCTGGAATCGAAGAGAAGATTGAACAATCCCAAGATGAATGTCCCATTTTCACACAAAACAGGCACTTTTTTTAGTCTTCAGGCGAATAAAAATGAACATTTTGGTGTTTTACATGTTACATGTTGGTGTTTTCGGTATAAAATTCAATTCTTCAAAATCCTAACCTCTCCCCACCATCCTCCAAATCGAAAGATTGAGGTTTCGGGCCATAAGTGTCGGTCATTCTGCAAAAAATGTAAAGTATGATAAAAAGATAAATAGTTCTAGTAAAAACTGGCAAAAATTCTGACAAAAAACAAAAGCTATCAGCTATGCAAAGCGTTCAATAGCATACAAAGATACGTTCGCATTCGCTGGCAACTAGCCAATTCGGCTATGACTACGGTAGATGGGGCGCAAAGTAGACAAGACAAGTAGAGAGTCAATTTTGGTGATTCTTCTTTGTTCCATAAATGATTTTAGGTGTACTCTGTGGTCTAGGTTTATTATGACTATCCTAGTTCATTTTCTGAATCAAACTCAAAGCTGACCTGGGATTTTCTTGCGTTTAAAATTTTTTTTAAACAGTTCTTGTCAGGTATACACCAAGTTGATGGAATAGCTATGGAGCATGAGGCAAAAAGCATCCAATTAAACTTATATCCATATTACAGCACTCCTGGAATTTGCCCTTATGAAAAAAAATATTGAAACTACGGTAATCTTTCCTTCTTTTTCGGGCTTTCCGTATTTTGGAATCATTTGGTGGCACATCAGACACAAAAACGTTTCATTTTCGTAAAGTTTAAAAAGAAAAACGACTGAAAGCTGAAGTTTTCACAGTAGTATTTCTTGTCAAAGTTCCTATCAAAGTTGTAGCGTGTAAGTTCTTTCAATCGTCAAAAGCACTTTCACCACAAACGCTCTTGCAATGATTTGTACAAATATCGGGATTTGCAATGGTAAAACCCGGACAACTATCGTTTGCCATCGCTTCACAAGAGGCCAAACAAGCAGTGCTGCAAAAGCTTGGGCTGGCTGCCTGGAAATCATTTTTGATCGTGGGAGAGTTATTCTTTGAAATGCTAGTAAATTTCCTGAAAAATTTATATTTCAATATTTCAACTTACAAAAAATACCTCTTGAGAAGAGCCATTATTGGCGGTATTGTCATTGTGCAAATTGTCATCTCCGTCACTCATTTTGTTAAGAAAATCCGTCGATGCTGAATAAATTTAAAGTTTACAGATAATTCTACACAAAAGTGAAATGTTTGATTAAAAACATCACTAAACCAATCTTCTAAAAAGCTAAAAGAAACTAAACAATTCTTTCCTACAAAAACACTCTCTTATTCCCTCTTTTAGATCATTTTTTGATTAGATTATTAAAATTTTGCCAAGTTAAAATGCCAAATAAAATGCTAAACTTTGTTTTCACTTTTACTAAATTCACGTTGTATTTGATAGTTTTTCTTTTTTCGTATCAAAACAAAGGATTTTACATCTAATGAGGCAAATATTTTAGATGAGGTTTTTATGCGAAATGAGCGTTTCTCGGAGAACAGCGATAAGAGTATGAGTAACAAAAAAAACAATTAATTTCGCAAAAGCATTCTAGAATCGTCTCTCAGCTTTCTTTTTAAATGTCCTCTTGCAAAGATTCTATTCACTTTTCGTTGATCTATTTCTTTTAGATTGCAAATAGTTTGCTAGCTAGTTTAAATGCTCACTTTTAGCTCACGATATTTCACTTCTAAAGAGATTTGACTTGAAAATTTGTGTAAACTTATTTCTTATCAAATAACAGAAAGAAATTTCTAGACAAAAAGCCGTTTTGTTCATAAATTTATTTCACAGTATAGGATATTTTCTTTGATTGGTAATAAGTTCAAAGCTTGGTATGCACAAAGGCAGCTTTTACTAGGATTAACTCATGTATTCTTTGAAATTAAACATTTTCCTAGGACTATTCTTTAACGAATTAAACTTTCTTTTTGTTTAATTCATAGCTTTAAAGCATTTCATTTCACTCTTTATCAAGTGTTTAATTCTAAAATATGTCTAGTGAATCATCGAGATAAAAGCCTTTTTGAAAGAACCACTGCTTCTTTCTTTTCTTCGACGTTCACACTTTTATTCTGTTTTACTTTTGCCTTTTATTATTGAAAATTGATTAGTTTAGATGAGCGAAGATTGGATTGAGGAAGCAAAGAAATTTTTTGAATGTCGAGATGACGATGTCACTCGTTCGTTTCCAAACTATAAATCCAAACTATACTTTGAAACTATAGAACCACTGTTTGTATCTGGAGGAGCTATTAACGAAAAAACAGAAGAAAATCATCGCAAACGCTTGGCTAAAGTGGTATTTTTATATCAAAAATATATTAAAGCATGTGTACCTACCACAAATACTGTAATTGAAGCCCTGGGGCTTCTATTTTTCTCTCTCTTCTAAGGAAGAGGGCTTCAATTACAGTATTTACGGTAATGGAAAGACAATATTCGAACTTCTGATAGTATGTATTTAGGAAAAGAATATCAAGAATATCACTTCGTTCAACGGTCTCAAAAAGCTTTTGCAAGGCAATACTGTTATCGAGGATAATTACTCGGCCGAATCAAATGATAATGAGGTAACTATTGTCTATAATAGTAATAAAATAAATGTATAAGAAAAATGAAATATTTCTAGCTTCGATGCATTTTCTGGAACTGTGGAGGGTTGATTTCGAAACTGGAAAAGGCTTGGCTTTTTGAATTTAAAGAGAGTATGACTAGAAAGTTTTAGACAACAACTTTCCTCGAATATGTCACCCAGAAACGTCCAGATATAATTTTCCTAAACGAACTTAAATGCTTGGAGGTTTGGAGTTGATATAAAATTCCTTAAATGTTGCAATTACAGGAAAAATTTGGCAACGGTGACAACGAGGAAACAACGGTCAAAAAATTAGCCCGCTTCCTCGATTATGAATGCATGTAGGTTTTCAAAAGATCTCACAATCACTTTTGTTTTGAGCTATGTACCATCCACCTCTGAAAACGGTCGCTCAAAGCGTGGCTCGGCTATTCTTTATCGAAAAAATGCCGAAGAAAAGTTCTAATATGTGGGCAATCCAACACGAGAAAGCAATAGTATTAAAAAATATAGGACTTTTAAAATAAGCTTTAGCTAATATGGAAGCGGTCTCTGGGATATTTAAATTTGGAAATGTCGAACACAGAATGATTTGCGTGTATGTGGCCCCTCATCCTGACCAAGCCACAAAAGCCGAACTAACCAATTGCCTCAATAAATTCAGTAGGTGAGGTGATCTCCATGTAAGTTCATTCAACTTATAGCAACACCTCGGATGATCGTCGTTGGTGATTTTAATATTGAAAAATGTAACTCTAACGATCGGGCGGATCTGCAAAAGGCGACGGGGTTTAAAGATGTACTTCATGCGAATTTGCGCACCCACTACTCGTCCGGAACGGTTTGATTTTAATAGGAAGTTGTTTCATACACCTTTTGATGCTTTAACCCGAAAGTTTCCTATTGTTAAATATTTCCATTTGGTCTAAATGTTAGACTTAATACTATGATAGTTAAATGCTAGTGATGACGATTATTTGTTGCTTCCAAGACAAAAACATACAGCTTACACCTACGATAATGTATGGAAAAAAAGGCAATTATTTAGACAACATCCATTGATTACATTATGCAGAAAGGCATAAATGAGGAATCAAGCACGAACGTTTCCCACCGGAGAATTTGGAAAATGGTCATGCAATGTTTCTGTTTTCTGTACCTAGGCCAACTGAAGCCTGAACCAGTTAAAAGAATTCCGTTTGATCGTTTTTTTTGTTGCTAATTCAATAAAAATGTTATTGTTATATTATCCACATATAATAAAACATTATAAGATTATGAGAAAGAGTTAGTTATGAATTTTAAAAGTTCAGCGAAACGGATAATATGCCACTAGGAATAACACTAGGAATAATCGCGATAATCGCTAGGAAGTTCCTTTGCGGGTTGGCAACAGCTTTGTGAGATAAAACAGATCAACAAATTGAAGAACTTTGAATAAGACAGGGTGACCAGAAATAACGTACTGGTTTTTCGGATGACAAATTCTGATGATGACTTGAATTTCTCTCTCAACTATCAGAAAAATGGATAACATTTGCTTTGAGAGGATTTCATTATGCATCCGACCAGGGAAACTGACTCATGTTTCTTTTTAAAAACCTTAGGTTCACAAGATGCTCGATTTCTTCAGGAAAATTGAACAAATTAGAATTAGAACAAATTGATAGCTAGAAAAAGAGAAGACATCCGTATTTTTCAAGCTTAAAAAGAAACATGGCTCAGTTTCCATAGTCGGATGCATGATGAAATCCTCTCAAAGCAAGTGCCATCCATAGAAATCAAGCAGCAGTGTCGCGTCGTATCCACATAATGTAGAAACATAATGTAGCTCAAAAGAAACAAAGGAGTTTAAGAGCTATCTGATGCAATCTGAAAGCACTTTTATTCGTTTAATTTTTAATAAAATAATGTCTTCTGATGTTTGACCCCAAAACACTCAGCGGTATCACTTTTTCAGACATCAGTAATAAGTAATAGTAATAAGTATCCAAAAAGCTTACACCAGAGTACTTCAAACTTCAAAACGTTCATCAATGTAGTGCGGGAAAAGGTCAAAAAGCGGCCACAAATCATAACCATTTCCACTTTGAACCCACAATTTTCTGTTCAACGATCACTTTATTTGTTTGAATTATTCGACTGGGATTTCAAGTGGGAGTTGATCAAAAAGAGCCTGAAGAGGTCTCCAATTTCAAATAGAGATTCTCGAATTTCGTGTTGAGTTGAATCAAAAAAGCAACCATTCACTTTCGTCAGTTATTTCAAAAGAAATGAATATCTTTTGTTTTGTCTTGATTTATCTTGCTGAATGTCTTGTTGCTCAATTAGACAATGATACATTTGATTCTGGTGAGTTTCGCGCTTGTCATTGTTATTTTACCTATGTTTTTTATGAGTTGAATAATTAAAAAGTAAAATACGATCATGAAATAGATAATTACTATGTTGATGCAAAAGCAGTTTGGTTTTTTTGGAAAAAACAAACATTAAATTAAATCAAAATTCCTTTAGTTAATATTCCAAACAATAAGCACCATCGCAAGGCTGTGATATCACAAGAGTTATCCATAAAATCCCTCCAACGTTGCTTCAGATCCCCTTATCGAAGAACTTTTGATTCTGTGATTGAAAATAGTCGGGCATCCAAGTCTCAACCTCTTGCGCATTCTTAAACTGGCATGGAAATGTTGCATCGATCTGAAGAGGTGCAAATCAGGTGGTGATAAGTCTGGACTATATGGCTCATACGGTAAAACCCTCCATCCTAATTCCTCTAACTCCATACAAGAGGCTTTCGCTGTCCGAGCTTGCGTCGGAGCAAATTGACAGTCGAGGGATTGAAACCCTTTTGACGCAAAATTTGGTCAACCTTCTTGAGCTGTTGAATAAAACAACACCTTGTTTTGTTTGGAGTTGAAATCAAATGTTTTCCGGGCTCTAATAATTCGAAATAAACAAACCCGTTGGTATTCCGCCAGCAAGACAACATCACTTTGTGCCCATGATAATCCGGCTTTGGAGTTGGAATTGGCATTTTACCCTAGCTGAGCCCAATCGCTCATTGGGTCTTTTTCGATAAGTGTTATCGAAGTGAAACCACTTCTCATCCATCGTCAAGATATTCTCAAAAGAATGGCTTCTTTTCGACTTAAAAAGCAAGATATGGCTGATCGTTGCTCCCAGATTTCTGTGCTCAATTCACGTGGAACCCATCGTCCATTACGATTGATCTTTCCGATTATTTCCAAATGGCGGACAATTGTTGATTGATCACATTGGAGATGTTTGGCAAGCTCTCGTGTTTTTTGCATTGAATCGGCTTCAATAAGTTGTCCCAATTCATTATTACCAACCGCTGCCGAGTGATGCCCATGTGGTTCGTCTTCAAGAGATTCAATACCTTCTCGGAACTGGGAAAGCAGGATCTTTCGGTCATAACTCGTTCGCCAAAAGCGGAACAGAGATCACGATGTGATTCGGCAGCGTTTTTGCCCATCTTAAAATCGTAGACACGCGCGCACAACATACTTTTGATTCACCATGATCTAAAGCAAATATCAATTAAAAAGTGAAAGCTTTGATTTGGAAAAAGCATAAAAATAAAGTAAATATTCAAGAGTACAAATATACAAAAGAAAATCAAATAAGCTTTTCAAATTAAAAAATAGAGCATTTTATATCAACCGAATTTCCTTTTGCATCAACCTGACTTAACTACAAACTACAAACAACTAAAAAGTTTAAAAAACTTCAAAGCTAAAGCGACAAATCTTTTGTTTTAATGTAACTTCAGCCAAAATCTATTCTCTAATCGATAAGTACTCTAAAAATATTTTTACTATTTAACTAGTGAATTAGCTAAACTTAAAAACCACTATTTCCAACTAATTACAACTAATTACAGACGAATCCGAACGAATAAAAGAAACAAACGCTTTGTACAACGAGTTGTTCACGACGAGAAATTATAACCGTTACTTTTATCCGTTTAACAAGAGGTCTACTGAAAACTTAACAACAAGTGAGTTTTCAAAAAAAACCATTTGTAAACAATCTTTTAGACCACAAAAAACTGAGCGTCCACTTTGATCTTTTCTATATAAAGTTGCTGGCGTTGGACGCTGAGAGTCAATTGTTGAGTGCTAATGTTGAACTGAAAATGGTGAGTAAACGTTGTTCTAGATAACTATTTTGTAGATGAAAATGAAAAGAATCAATTAGAGTTGTTCAAAGAAAAGAAATCGTGACAATGACTTCAATGACTCGAAGAGAACAAACATAAGTTTTCCAGGCTTCAAAATGACCCCGAAGTCATGTCAGTGTTGTGTTAACGTCTATTTGTAAATGAGAATTTTTAAACCTGAATCTGAATCTGAATCTGAGCCTATACCTGAGCCTGAACCTGAGCCTGAGCTTGTGCCTGAACCTGAACCAAGTGTTATCACCTAGTTTTCAGTATTGGCGAGACCCTCGACTCGTCTGGGATCCAATAAAATTCAATGGAACCGATCACATCTTTGTTTCCACAGAGATCCTCTGGGTTCCGGACAGTCAAATCGGAAATGCGTTGGTTAAAAGGCTTAAAAACCAGAAAAGATTGATTCAGAAAAACCCTCGACTCGATCAAAGCTGGAGAGACGGTGAGAACGGCACAGATCTTCAGCAACGGAACGATCTACCTTCCAGTTTTCTACTATACCGAAGTGGCTTGTCCAATCATTGTTAGAGTTCATGGGTTCTATTGATTCCTCTAGTCTTTTTAGATTAACACCTTTCCATTCGATAAGCAGTTGTGCCCGATTCCGATGATGTCAATGGTTTTTGACGAGTAAGTGATTGACTAGTGGTTCTTTCATTGATCTTGAAAGTCTAAAAAGAAGCCAACACATTTACGACGTTCAGAACATACATTGTGTTGAGTGCCGGCATCGATCCGTTTCTCTTTCAACTCACCGAAATGGCTGTTAGTTTTGCAAAGATAAAAAATAGTGTTCTATACATTTTCAGACAGCAATAACCTTAGCCCAAAGTCCCCAAGATGCCAATGAATTGTTCGGAGTGATGTTCTCAAAGCAGTTTTTGTCGTGGGTTCGTGCTTTTGAAGGATTGCACTGGAAGTTGTCATTGTTGAAGAACTTAAACACAAAAAATTATCTACAGGATTCCCTAAAATTACCCGAACCAATAAAACTCATAGTTTAACAACATTTAAATCAAAAAAAACAAAAATTAACATTAATTGGTGTGGTACTATTACAGTATTTACGGTAAGTTGTTATTCATGAATCCCTTACCGTAAATACTGTAATAGCACCTCACCCCCATAATGACGGTGTGGAGTGTTGCGTTGTCTAGCTTTGAACGCGTTTTTCTCGACACTCGTTTATGCTACAATGCGCGTTTAGGTATCAAAAAATAGCCCTGAATTTCAGCTATTTTTTGATACCAAAGGCGCATTTT